CAGGTCGCCATAAATAACGGAATTAAGCTTATAAAATTACTTATTTTTATCCTTTACTCAATAAAAAATGCTAGGGAGGGAAAAAAATAATCTAGGTATTTTTTACTAAGTACAATCAAAGGGGACCTGGAAGTATATCTGGTTGCGCAAATGAACTGAAGGTACCAATCGGGTAGTGACAACAATTCCTCAGCCAGAAAAGCTGCTATTAGCTGTCCTAGAAGGTGCAAGAAGGCGCCATGTGATGTCATAGTCCAATTTGCAGACCCCATGTTATCCGGTTGCAGTAGATTCTGAAGTTTTTTTTTTTTGCTGTCTGTCAAAGCAGCGCAGAGATATAGGATAGCAGGGAGAGGGAAAGAGGATATGAAGAGTTTTATAGAGACTTTTACAAAAACCCGTAAAGAAAAATACAAAGAATTCAGGCATTTAGTTCCACACTCCATAGAAACTGGTGACATAAATGCACCATTAGTTGTTTGCCATGTAGCAAAAAGAAAAACACCAAAAAAACAAAGAAGAAAGTAGCAGCAGTGCAACGACACACAGAAACTGGAAGAGCAGAGGTGGAGAGAATGAGGCTGTTGTCAACGTGGGGGTGGAGGTTGGTTGAGGACCGAACAACAGAGATGAGGGAGCCAGAGATGAGATCTTGCAGGTTTAAAGAAATCAAAAAGGCAACAGAAAACCAAATCCAAGAACCAAAAATACAGGAAACTAAAAACCAGGAGAAGTGAGGGGAAAACACACATGGGGAGCAAAGTAAGAAACAAAAAAACAGCATGGAGCAGAACTGCAAAGGGAGAGTATATATGGGAGACAGAACAAAAACTGGGGTAATCAGCTGATATGGAGCAGGTGTGGATAGAAGGGAGTAGAAGGGAGCCAGGGGAAAAGAGACAGGCACAAGGGGGCGACAGAGAGTAACTCAAGACTGCTTAAATATAACACAGAATGAAAAATAAACCAAAGATCAACAAAACAGAATGACATGGACAACTGAAAACTCAAAGTCCAAAAGGGGAGAACCATAACAGCTGCAGATGTAAAATGCAGTTATTTTATCTGATGTGAGAAAACACTGTTGGTTAAAAATTATTTTCAGTATTCAATTTTACAGTCAGGGGCGTGATTAGCAGCAGCTTTGCATATGTACAGTTAACTCTCTCTGATGCAGACTGCAGGCAGCTTTTATCAGGTTGTTCCTCCCTAAGGCCATACAGGCATGTGGAAGCCACACACAATACTGAGTCTCATTCTGACCTGTTTAAAGACATTAAATGAAAGTCGGATCTTCCTATAGTGTTTTTCAACGTTAAGTTTGTGTGTGACTCCAAATCAAGGCCTCTTTTAGCTAATAAACTTGATTTGCATAGATGATTTTAATGTGATTTTATTGTTGGTATATTCAACTTTGTAAAGCACAAACTATTCATTAATTCCTATCTAGGATGTGTCATTTGAGTTTTACCTTTATTTTTTTGAGCAGTGCATATCGTAGATCTTATACGCAGGCCGATATAATCCCATACTAGTTTATTTTGGTTTAAGTCAGACAGGATTACCAATTCTATACCAGCTTTTCCTTGCAGGCTCATGTGAATTCATTTCATCAGAAATGTTTTGCTACTAAGGAAAAACTTGCTGCAGGAGTTTTTTTTTTTTTTATTGTGAATACTGTGACCAAATGATTGACAAATCTTTGTGCATTAAAGTCCATGTCTTAAACACTAGATAAATTAATGAATTACAGGTTTTAGAAATGTGAAAAAGGCTTTCAAGAATTTCAGTATGTAAATAATCTGTTTCAGGAAACAGGTAAGTCTAAGAGTGAACATCAAAATCTTGATAAACTGATTAGATGAGAGAGAAAACATCCATGCAGATTTCCACCCTGAAGCCAAGCCTCTAATATGAGCTGTGAACAGTAGCTGGTTTGTGATGCAGTGATGTCAGCTGCTCCTACCTCCTTGGACGTTTCCTGGTTTGGCCCTTTGCTGCTGCTCAGTATCTGTCTGGTTACTGCTGGTGGTATCAACTTTCCTGCCATTTCCACGTCTTTCATCAAAAAGTGATGAAACTGTAAAAAAAAAAACCAATAGCTGATCAATTAGCTGTTTCTAAAACTCTTAGACATGTTACGTAAGAAATTAGACAAATGCCTTTAATGCTAAAAGTCTTAATGCTCAAACAGGAATCTGAAACTTGGGTGAGTTTGCTCATAAAAACTACTACTAGTTTGATAATGCACTAACATCTTCATAAAATGAATAAAATATTAATAATAACTCTTACAAGCCTAAG